GTTTTTCCAAGAAGCCTTTCATGACCATCTGCCCCCTGCCGGCCAGCATCAACCAATCCACTCTGTGTAATAGCAGCTACTGTTTACTGAGTCCTGTCCGGGGGCACTTCAAAGACATTCTTTCTAAATGTCTGAGTAACTCTGCAGGTAAGAATTAGTCTCCTAAATTTTCAGATTGGGAAATGAAGTTTCAGCAAGTCAAATACTGTATGATTCCACTTATATGAGGTCCCTAAAGGAGTCAAACTCATAGAGACAGAAAGCAGGATGGTGGCTGCCAGGGGCTGGGGGAGGGGAGAACGAGGAGTCAGTGTTTAATGGGGACCGAGTTTCAGTTTTGCAAGATGAAAAGAGTTCCAGAGATGGATGGTGGCGATAGTTGCACAACAATATGAATGTACTTAATGCCACTGAACTGCATACTTAAAAATGGTTAAGATGGTAAATTTTATTAGGTTCATTTTATCACAATTAAATCACACTTAAATCACAATTTTTTTAAAGTCTCTGGAGCCCACTCAGTCTCACAATTACATCCTTATCAGCATCCGTCTTCCTGTGCCCACAGCGCCAATGTCTCCGGTATTGTACGATTGATTGTCTAGTCAATCTCCTTGCTGTATGAAGACAAATAAACTAGCTGATCTGAATGAAATCTTAAAAGCTCTCCAGTGAAGACAATCCCAGAGACTGAGCCTGGCAACTCTTACAATAGGTCACAATTCTTCGTGTCAGGATTTCTTGTCTTTTAACTCTTACTTAAAACCTTTTGTTTAAGCTAATTTCCTCTTCGGCCCTATGAGGACGCAAAGAACAGCTGGTGACCATCCTCCATGGAAGAGGTCTTCCAAAGGCTTAGACACCACTGCTAAAGTGCCTCACTACTTTGAAGACATGGAGCAACCTGCTTTCAAAATTTTCCAGCCTAAAATTGCAGCCACGTTCTGTTTGTGGAATTGAGCTTTGGGTCCTCAACTATGCCTTTGTCTGTGTGTTTGGCTGGATCCCAAATCACTTTTTTTTTTTTTTGAGGAAGATTTGCCCTGAGCTAACATCTACCGCCAATCCTCTTCTTTTTTCTGAGGAAGACTGTCCCTGAGCTAACATCCGTGCTCATCTTCCCCCACTTTCTATGAGGGACTCCTGCCACAGCATGGCTTGACAAGCAGTGCGTAGGTCCACAACTGGGATCCAAACCGGCAAACCCCAGGCAGCTGAAGCGGAATCTGTAAACTTAATTGCTGCACCACCGGCCCGGCCCCCAAATCACTTCTTTTTTTTTTTTTTTTTTTTTTTAAACAATATATTTTTTTTGATTTTATTTTTTCCTTTTTCTCCCCAAAGCCCCCCGGTACATAGTTGTATATTCTTAGTTGTGGGTCCTTCTAGTTGTGGCATGTGGGACGCCGCCTCAGCGTGGTTTGATGAGCAGTGCCATGTCCGCGCCCAGGATTCGAACCAACGAAACACTGGGCCGCCTGCAGCGGAGCGCGCGAACTTAACCACTCGGCCACGGGGCCAGCCCCCCAAATCACTTCTTAAAGAGAGTTTTGGCTCTGCCCATGGCGCTGCCATGGCAGGCCTCCAAAGGAGGCAGGTGACCTTCCGCCAGGCCTGTGCCCTTGTCAGCTCCCTAAGAAGACGCCAACACATAACCCAGCTGAGTCACAGTGTTTCTGACTCTGTCCTTTACCAGCTACATGCAATAGGTGTACTCCAGGCACTTGGCTTAAATAAAAAAGCCAAGCTTGGGGCCAGCCCAGTGGTGTAGCAGTTAAGTTCATGCATTCTGCTTCAGCGGCCTGGGATTCGCAGGTTCAGGTCTGAGGCATGGACCTACACACTGCTTATCAAGCCATGCTATGGCAGGCATCCCACATATAAAAAGTAGAGGAAGATTGGCACAGATGTTAGCTCAGGGCCAATCTTCCTCAGCAGAAAGAGGAGGATTGGCAGTGGATGTTAGCTCAGGGCTAATCTTTCTCAAAAAAAAAAAAAAATCAAGCTCACTGTCACTCACTATCAAAAGCTTGGCTGAGAGAAACAAATTTTGGGAGCTATCTAAAAGTATATCCCTCCCTCTGGGATTAAGCCAAGGCCCCAGGAGCTGCAGGTGGGGACTACCCTGTTTTACCCAGCCTCCCTCTGGGCTAACATAGCCATATTCCCAACTTGCTTGACTAGGTACTTCTTCCCCTCTTTTGTGCAATACAGAGGAATTGATATGTCCCTTTAAGGGAAGGGGTCCCAGGAGCTGAGGAGGAGAGGTCTTCTCTTCTGCTTCTGTCTCTGTTGTGTTTCTTCATCTGTGTGCAGCTTACACAAATGCTCAATCTGTGAAAATGCATTCAGCTGTATATTTATGACCTGTGCACTTTTCTGTATGTATTCTATTCTTCAATAAAAAGTAAAGACAAACACACAGAGAGAACCTTTCATCTTTAAAGTACAATGTTATGTTAGTTCTAGGGGATGTGGAAAGATTCATAAACACAGGCCTTGACTCCAGAAAGCTATAGGTTAGTACCATCAAGCATTAATGCAAATTTCTAGGGTGCATTTTCCAGAGGCATCTTGGGCAACTTCTGATGTTAGCAACTCCACATCCACGTGCCTTCCTGCCTTTCCCCTTGAACCAGGCAATGCCAAGAAAGAAGAGGGATGAGTTTCACGAGGAGGAGGTCTTTCTTTCCATCTTATCAGATCTTAGGAAAAACCATTTCCAAATTCTTATTAAGAGGCTCGGTAGCTCCCAGAAAAACCCCTCAGTGTTTTTCCTCCAGAGGAATTAAATGGGAGGAGGAAGTTTCTGAAATACGGAATGTTAAGTCAATGGGGCAGGATGAGAAAATAAAATGCAATCTATATGTTAAGAAAGCAACTGAAAACTACCCAACCAAGATATCCTTCAGTGTATAATGCCACTCACCTGAACAAAACCACTTATATTAAAAATTACAGTTGGAAATGGAACTTGGGAAACACATTGCTAAATAAAAAGGTGCGGATAAAAAGGCGTTCTCTCAATTACGCTCCTCCCCCCATGACCTACCTATCCTAATTGTGCTAAAGACTAAAACTGAAAAGTGACTTAAAGAGATGGGCAGGTCCATCTCACGCTAGAGTGCAAGGCGGCTTTCTGCAGTGATGCAGCAACAGCAGCCTGTTCAGATAGCCATAATCAAGGACTACGAGGGGGCCATTACTCATTTCTACCCATATTAACTTAACTCCTCAGCATATTACTATTTGGAACAAAGGCTTCATTCCTGACACGCAAGACACAAATCTTTCTTCTTACTCTTTTCACACTTTGATGCTCTAACTTCAAAAGCCTGCACCTGTACAGATTTTATAACCATTTAAACATGTGGATCTTCTTTGAAATATTCTTTCAATGGTTCCTTTGAGCAGAGCCCAGGCCGAGCTTTCATACTTTATTCTTTCATTTACGTTATTATAGTGATCAAGCGAAAAAAATATTCTAATTACTGCAAAAAGGAAGCAGTCCTTTTGGAAACAATCACATTTATTTTAGTCTTTTAGGATAAACAAAATCCTTTCATTAACTTTTACTTATGCAACTGCATCACGTTTTGCATAAAGAATTGGCAGTCTTCAAACACAGAAAAAATTTTTCTCACATTTCAAAAGGGATTAAAGAGCAAATGCTAGCTAGCATTCAGTTCACTGAATAATAAAGCAATATTATTTAGTTTCTAATCTGCATAGTTCTAAGGGAAATCTGAAAATTATCTATGTCCTATAAATAGTAAGTATCTTAAGGTGACCTTTCTGACTTGAGCGATGTGGCCTGGCTGTAGTTTTAACCAGTTATCTGACATGTGCCAAATCCTCACTTCATTTTGTGGTATGTGGATTACAGTTCTGATGTTTAATGCCCAAACCAACAAAAACTATGAAACTTTACCTGCGATTCAAGTAGCTACAATCACCACCTTTCAAGATAATGTCCCCTAATTTGCTATCAACTTTCTCCTTTCAGGTAGCCATACATGAAATGCCAGAGATGCCAGAGATGCCAGAGGCAGAGGCTTTTCAGAAAAACAAGGTCCTGTATGGTTGGAACTGGATTATCTGTCAATCCCAGAAAGCCAGGGGTGGAAAGCAGTCATCAGGTAGGGCCAGGTGTAGGATGTTTTAAACCTAGGTGCTCAATTTTGAATTCTAGAGTCTAATTAATAATCTCTAAAGAGTTTTGGACAATCACTGGAAGGAATGGAGGAGAAAGGGCTCTGGTAATTGAGGGAAGGCATTAACCAAGGGAAAGGACAGGGCAGTTCGCTGCATCCATTTCCTCAAATGAATTCACTCACACCTTCCCACACTTAACAAGACCAGAGCTCCAAAGGCATTGCTTACTCCTTAAAACGTTTAGGACAGTCATTTTTCAAGTGACTACTGAATTTTAACAACTTACTGCCCAGCAGTAGAAGAGGGGATGGGTAGAAGATGAGGTGGCATCCGAGGGAAGAAGAGAACAGATACCTTCTCTACTGAATGCCAACATATTTCACAATTTTCATAGATGGGTTTTCCTGCAGTTCCTCTGTGGGAGTCAAGAATACATTGCTAAAACCTCCCTAAGCGTGAGGGAGCAGATTCAGGAATCTTTAATATCAAGTTCCCCGGGATATAAGCTCATCTGAAATCCCCAGGAGCCCTGAGCATTTAGTGGATGCTCACCCACAGGTGGGTGAAGAGACACCCAGGGGAACCGGCAGTTGCTTGCCTGAGCTCAGCACATGGCCGTGACAGTAGAGTGAAAAGAACCAATGGAAAGAGCCTGTCATGCTTCTCTTGCGTTTAGTAGAGTATGGACGCCCTGACTTGGTCTAAGAGCCAGAGGGTCACTGATCTCTCCTTTGTCTTAATTCATTGCTCTGTCACAGGTATTAATTTAGGGTTTCTGGCAGAGCCAACTAACTTGTTTCTCTGTTGCCCCAAAAATAGACACACACAGACTTCCCCCAAGGTACCTGCAGAAGGATCTTGTTCCCGTCGTGGTCCTCTGTCTGCCAGCGCCCCTCACTGATGGGGCTGCAGGGGTTGGGCAAGAGAGGCACCAGCTGACCGATGTCCTTGACTCGGAACTCCAGCACGGAGGAGTCGGTGGGGACTGGAGTCTGGTCACTGGGCAGTCTTTTCAGGGAGAACTGGATGTCCACATCCAGATTGGAGAAAATGGGGAAGATGCAGAAGTCCGTTTTCTTCTGACTGGGGCTCCGCCTGAGGATCAGCTCGTAGAACTTGAGGATGTCGGCGTAGTTGTCGTGGCGACAGTAGATGGTGAAGCGCACGATTTCCCTGCCGTAGTGCACGGGCCGGATGGCCCACAGCGGGGTCCCGGGGGCCAGCGTGAAGAAGTCCTGGCTGCAGGGCAGGTAGGGCAGGAACCTGCCGGGCACGCGCTCCGTGTGGTGGTGGCGCCAGGGCGGCCGCTGCAGCGTGCGGTGCAGCTGCAGGATCTGCTCCTCGCCGTACTCCTCCTGCAGAAAGAGAACCACCGCCAGCGCCGGCTGTGCCACCTTGGGGAGCTTCCTGCGCCGCCGGGATGCCCTCCTTTCAGAGACCCTGAACAGCTGCAGATCTGGGTGGATCCAAGCCAAGACCTTGTCGATGGCCTCCTGCAGGGGCTGGGACTCCCCTGGGTCTGCGATTATGTGGATGCTAACCAGGAAAGGGTCCTGTGCCTCCTCCACAGAAAGCTCACCTGGGAACACACACACAGACAGAAACCGTGGCTATTTCATTAAGGTGTCCTGTGATGACATGCAAGGCCTGGGCAGGAAGACATGCTAAATTCTAACTGAACTGACTTCATGATCGTTATGATTTTATGATCTCAAGTTCACATGCAGAAACTACCATTGCAGCACCACAGCAACAAAAAACTAAAGAACTATTGCTACAAATGGTTCCCAAGGTGGGCAGCGTTAGGAAAACCATGGTGCTGTACTTTATCAGGTTGAGTGTACTTTCTATTAGACTCCAGAAAGCCAAGCCTCCATTGATCTGGAAGGGATAACAGGCCCATCAGAGAAGATGCTGTAGCATCAAGTGTACACTATTTATTATTTCCTGAAGCCTCACACCATGAATGTGCCCTGTCCCACTGCACTCCCCTGGTTTGCTTATTTCATTGTTTTTTTCTGTTCATTCATTTAACAAACATTTATGGAATCCTTTCTTCATGCCCTGTGCTAGGCACGTCCTCTAACTGACAGCTCAAGCTCTGGCTGGAGGCCAACAGTGTCCTTATGGTGAGACGCTTGGTCCTGATCATCTCGTTGCTGGAAACAAAGGGAAGAACAACGCTGGGCACAGTGTTCTTGCTGTCACGGCTTACTGGTTAGGGCTTAACTGTGGTTAGGGGTGGGGGACGTATGGGGGGACCATTACTACCCATGTAATGCTGCCTTTTGGGCCTCTCCCCAGGCCAGGTCCACTCAGAAGCCTATGCATCCTAAATGGGTCAGTTACCCTCCTTATGTCTTCTGCCAGACCATTTGGAAGCATAGAATTCCAAGTGTGAAGTTGACTGTTTAAGTTGGCAACACTTTCCCATGGGGTGAACAGTTTGCTGGCCACCCTGGCATATTTCTAATTCAGAAATATTCAGCATATTTCATCAGATAACTTCATGAAGGCTTGTTCTTTTTAAAAGATGGCTCTATTTGCATTTATATAAGTTTTACGACTCATCCAAGGGAAATCAAGAAATCTTTAAGTCTATTGTGGCTTGGGGGACTAGATCCATCTGGAATCTAGACCTGTCTTCACACACGTACCTCACCATGACCACTAGGGTGTTAGGCATAGAGTGATCCTGAGCTCAATAACGTTTGAGAAGTGTGATATGCTTTTAAGAACCATAACCTCGATCAGCTCACAGGATGAAAGGTAATTTTTTTATTGTAGGTGAACAAGACATTCCAAGTGGGCTTACAGGTACATTTCATCATATGCATCTTTAATAACATGATTTTAATTTTGTTGGATCAAAAGCTCTCTGAATTTTCACCCTCTGTTAGACATCTCACTTGGGAATAGTTAGTTCAGTTTATTGTTGTCTTCTTTCTCATTTCCTCATTCATTCATATATTTTTTGGAGCAATCAGTGGATACCAGGCACTGGGACAAGGAAGCGGGTACTACTGAATACTACGGAAGTCTATTTACATAGCCTCTGGCATGAATGGTGCTCCCTTCGAGTTGTACAGTGCATGACCTGCCCAACCACAGGCAGTAGCCCTCTACAGAAACCATAAGCCACAAATGAGAACTTCATGATTTAGTTGGGAAACACAGACATGAAAAATTGAAATTCAATCTGATATATGCCTATAGGAAATACAGTAGAGTAGCATCTTAGGAGGGAGTTGGATTGTAAAGTCACCATGAGGTAAAAATCACCTGTAGATGATATTACCACTGAAAGCCCCTTAAATTTCCAGTGTAGTACTGAAGGTACTGACCTGCAACAAGACAACATGGCCAGACAGACGTTCCTTTGGTTGAGCACCAGATGAAATAACAGGCTTGCTGCATAACTTGTGTTATGAAAGAATAGTCTTGTATCATTAAGCATGAGACCCACCCCCAACCCCCACCAAGCAGGCTGTACCTTTTACTCTACAAGAGGTTTCTGGGAGCTCGAGAGTCTTCTGGAACCTAAGGATGACTACGGTAACAGCAAAGTCAAGTCTCAGTACCCCCATGATCATACAGCAGAGTGGTGGGTGGAATTATTTAAACTCCCTCTCTCCCTCCCTCCTTCTGGCTGAGCATGTATTCCCGAATTTGTATGAGCTAAATATGAGCATTATGCAATTCCAATTTACTACCACACGACAAAGGAAGGAGCAACTTTTTCTCTAAAGGGCTTCCAAGAAGGCTTTCCGGAGGAGGTTCCATGTGAACTGGGCCTTGAAGGTAAATGACATCTCACTTAAAATAACCTCAGATGTGGGCGAGATCACTGTAGGAAGAGGGAGCACTGTTTATGAAGGCTCAGAACTGTGCAAAAAAACAAGCACATTTGGAAGGGGGTGGTGAGTAATTCTGAAACATGGCAACAGATGCCACAGGAAAAATGGATTGGAGCCAAGTTGTACAGGGCCTCAGCTCAATTTGGTAGTGATAAGGGGCAAGGGAAAGGGTGTTTTTCTTGCTAGATTACCAATTTATTATAAAAGGGTATAACTCAGGAACATCCAGATGGAAGAGATACATAGGGCAAGATATAGGGAAAGGGTGCAGAGCTTCCACGATCCCTCAGAGCACAGCACTCTCCCCAAAGCTCTCCGAACCCCATCCTTTTGGGTTTTAAAGGAGGCTTCGTTACAAAAGCACAATTTTTTAAATTGAGATATAATTGACATATAACATTATATTAGTTTCAGATGTACAACATAATAATTTGATATTTGTATATATTGTGGAATGATCATCACAGCATAAGTCTAGTTAACATCTGTCACCATATATAGTCACAAAAATTTTTTTCTTGTGATGAGGACTTTTAAGATCTACTCTCTTAGCAAGTTTTAAATATGCAATACAGTATTATTAATTATAGTCATCATGCTGTACATTACATCCCCTTGACAATTATTTTATAACTGGAAGTTTGTACCTTTTGGAAAGTTTTAATAAAGGGATGTTGGGACCAAGTTAGGGGGAGGTTGATTATAGGCAAAGTAAGAAGTTGGAAGATGAGTGCAGAGTCTAGACAAGAGATAACAAGGACCTGGCAGTGTAGGAAACTCATTATTGGCCCTAGGTCTTTATCCTACCCTGTCTCCTTGCTCTCTGCCTTGTGACTTTGTAGTTCCTCCCACTAAATGGGTGAAGTGCCTTTCCTCACCCTTTGACTTTGGATTAGCCCAGATGCCTAGCTTTGCCAATTGAAAGACACATCACTGACATGTGTTTTTGGCTTATCTTCTTGTTTCTCTAACATTTCCACAAGAAGAATATGCTTGGGCCAGCCCACTGGCGCCAGAAAGGAGGATGAGAGATATGTGGAGCAGAACCACCCTAGATGAGCCCCACCTACACCAGCCAACCTCAGACACCCAAAGACATGTGGCAAGAGCCACCCAGGTGAGCCTGGTCTACGTCAGCTGACCCAAGACACATGGGAAATAATAAATGACTGTTGTTTTAAGTCATTGGGGGTGGTTGTTACACAGCAATACTTACAGATGCAGGCAGAGTCAGTAGGTATACAGAAGAGCCATAGATTCACAGCCTATTCAGGAGCACATGTGACAGACTTGGAGTGCATAGGCCTTGGAGTAGGGAGCAGGAAAGGAGTGTACCTTGATGTTTCTAGCTTGAACAACTGGCCTGATGCTGATGCTTAACTGAGACAGGAAATACTTCTTCCTGAGACAGGAAGAAGGGTAGGTTTGTGGGGAAAGACAAGGAGTTCCACTTTGGCCATGCTGCCTTGAGATGACCAAATGACTTCAGGAGGGGTGTCCTGTTGGCAATTGGACCTGTGCGTTGCTGAGGTGATGGGCTGAATTTAAGAACGGGCCAGTTACCTTTAGACCATATTCTTGCTTTTATGCAGTTACTTGTAAGTGTGTGCCCCATATTGATTTGAATCTGTGAAAATTCATGATGATGGCTTAAAAAACAATCGGAATTCATGGATTATTCTGGTCCTTTTCTTTGCTTGCTCTTTCTGCTCACCTGGCTACTTTCTGATTCATTGAACATTAGCACCACTATCAGCAGAAGTGCAGTTGAAACAAAAGTAGTGAAAATGCAAACCAACGAAATTTTCTGCCAGTCAGGAACTCCAGTAAAGGGAGGAGAAGATGCCACAATCACCTAAAACGAATATTTCACTTTTCCATGGTGCCTGGACCTCCCAACAGTAGAGACATGTGACTTTGCTAAATGTTAATGAGCGCTCAATACAAACAGAAAGGGGCAGAAAGGCTTTGAACAATTTGGGGATAAAGAAACTTACTTGAGAAAATTACAGATGATTTCTATGAGGGAAAAAAGGACACATGGAGCAGAAAGAGTATTTGGGAAAAGGAGTTGTCAGAGCAGTCAGGCAGTCCCATTAAGATGCTGACCCCACTCTCAGGGTATGCACATGGCCATGTACAATGTTAGCTAACATATGTCTGCCTTACATTCACCATGGGCTGGTACTTTCTTGGCATTCTTCATGTATTAATTCTTTAATCCTCATTAAGAAGGATGAGAGGGCTGTTATTGTCCCCATTTTAGAGAGCAGAAAATCGAGGCACAAAGAGGTGAAGCATCCTGCCAAGGCCACATCAGAGCATGTGAGCTCTCCGTGCACAGTCACCCCGCGGCTCTGAGGAGAAGTGTGCTCACCCTCTCTGTATGTGCTTCACAGCAGAATGAGCAGCTGTCACTCTCCAGCCATTTTTGGTCACACTGCTACTACCTCACCTCCCATGACTGCTCTCCTGCCTCCTTCTGATGGGCTGGCTTCTCAGCCACCAGCCAATAGCTTCCTATTGCGGACACACATTTACATCTCTTTCTTCTGGCCCTGGGTCTCTGAGGAAGAATAATCCAGAAACTACCTCCCTGAAGGCACATGCCCAAGTCTTTACATCTGAGCACTGCCCTAAAGGGCAACTGAAACAGGCCAGCACTACAGGTGGGTGCAACAGGGAGAGAAAAGCAGAAAAGTGACACAGAGAAGGCCTGTGG